TGTCGTGGTATTCTTTTGTAGTATTGTGGTGGTATTGTTGTGGTTGTAGAATTGTCGTGGTATTGTTGTGGTTGTAGGGTTGTCGTTGTATTGTTTTTGTTGTAGTGTTGTCGTGGTATTGTTTTTGTTGTAGTATTGTCGTGGTATTGTTTAAGTAGTATTGTCGTGGTATTGTTTCTGTTGTAGTATTGTCGTGGTATTGTTTTTGTAGTATTGTCGTGGTATTTTTTTTTGTAGTATTGTCGTGGTATTGTTTTTGTTGTAGTATTGTCGTGGTATTGTTGTGGTTGTAGGATTGTCGTTGTATTGTTTTTGTAGTAGTATTGTCGTGGTATTGTTGTGGTTTTAGTATTGTCGTGGTATTGTTGTGGTTGTAGGATTATCGTGATATTGTTTTTGTTGAAGTATTGTTGTTGTATTGTTTTTGTTGTAGTATTGTCGTGGTATTGTTGTGTTTGTAGTATTGTCGTGGTATTGTTTGTTGTAGTATTGTCGTGGTATTGTTTTTGTTGTAGTATTGTCGTGGTATTGTTTTTGTTGTAGTATTGTCGTGGTATTGTTTTGGTTGTAGGATTGTCGCTGTATTGTTTTTGTTGTAGTGTTGTCGTGGTATTGTTTTTTTGTAGTATTGTCGTGGTATTGTTGTGGTTGTAGGATTGTCGTTGTATTGTTATTGTTGTAGTATTGTTGTGGTATTGTTGTTGTATTGTTTTTGTTGGAGTATTGACGTGGTATTGTTGTAGTTGTAGTATTGTCGTGGTATTGTTTGTTGTAGTATTGTCGTGATATTGTTTTGGTTGTAGGATTGTCGTTGTATTCTTTTGTAGTATTGTCGTGGTATTGTTGTGGTTGTAGTATTGTCGTGGTATTGTTTTTGTTGTAGTATTGTTGTGGTATTTTTGTTGTTGTAGTATTGTTGTGGGATTTTTGTTGTTGTAGTATTGTCGTTGTATTGTTAATGTTGTAGTATTGTTGTGGTATTTTTGTTGTTGTAGTATTGTTGTTGTAATGTTTTTGGTGGAGTATTGACCTGGTATTGTTGTAGTTGTAGTAGTGTCGTGGTATTGTTGTGGTTGTAGTATTGTCGTGGTATTGTTGTGGCTGTAGGATTGTCATTGTATTGTTTTTGTTGTAGTATTGTCGTGGTATTGTTTTTGTTGTAGTATTGTCTTGGTATTGTTTTTGTTGTAGTATTGTCGTGATATTGTTGTGGTTGTAGGATTGGCGTGGTATTGTTTTTGTAGTAGTATTGTCGTGGTATTGTTTTTGTTGTAATATTGTCGTGGTATTGTTGTGGTTGTAGGATTGTCGTTGTATTGTTTTTGTTCTGGTATTGTCGTGGTATTGTTTTTGTTGTAGTATTGTCGTGATATTGTTATGGTTGTAGGATTATCATTGTTGTGTTTTTGTAGTATTGTCGTGGTATTGTTTGTAGTATTGTCGTGGTATTGTTGTGGTTGTAGTATTTTCGTGGTATTGTTGTGGTTGTAGGATTGTCGTGGTTTTGTTGTGGTTGTAGGATTGTCGTTGTATTGTTATTGTTGTAGTATTGTTGTGGTATTTTTGTTGTTGTAGTATTGTTGTTGTATTGTTTTTGTTGGAGTATTGACTTGGTATTGTTGTAGTTGTAGTATTGTCGTGATAATGTTGTGGTTGTAGGATTGTCGTGGTATTGTTTTTGTTGTAGTATTGTCGTGGTATTGTTTTTGTTGTAATATTGTCGTGGTATTGTTGTGGTTGTAGGATTGTCGTTGTATTGTTTTTGTTGTAGTATTGTCGTGGTATTGTTTTTGTTGTAATATTGTCGTGGTATTGTTGTGGTTGTAGGATTGTCGTGGTATTGTTTTTGTTATGGTATTGTCGTGATATTGTTATGGTTGTAGGATTGTCGATTAATTGTTTTTGTAGTAGTATTGTCGTGGTATTGTTTTTGTTGTAGTATTGTCGTGGTATTGTTATTGTTGTAGTATTGTCGTGGTATTTTAGTGGTTGTAGGACTGTCGTTGTATTGTTATTGTTGTAGTATTGTCGTGGTATTGTTGTGGTTGTAGGACTGTCGTTGTATTGTTATTGTTGTAGTATTGTCTTGGTATTATTTTTGTTGTAGTATTGTCGTGGTATTATTTTTGTTGTAGTATTGTCGTGGTATTGTTGTGGTTGTAGGATTGTCGTTGCATTGTTTTTGTTGTAGTATTGTTGTGGTTGAAGGATTATCATTGTATTGTTTTTGTTGTAGTATTGTCATTGTATTGTTTTTGTATTATTGTCGTGGTATTGTTTTTGTTGTAGTATTGTCGTGATATTGTTATGGTTGTAGTATTGTCGATAAATTGTTTTTGTAGTAGTATTGTCGTGGTATTGTTTTTGTTGTACTATTGTCGTGGTATTGTTGTGGTTGTAGTATTGTCGTGGTATTGTTTGTTGTAGTATTGTCGTGGTATTGTTGTGGTTGTAGGACTGTCGTTGTATTGTTATTGTTGTAGTATTGTCGTGGTATTATTTTTGCTGTAGTATTGTCGTGGTATTGTTTTTGTTGTAGTATTGTCGTGGTATTGTTGTGGTTGTAGGATTGTCGTTGCATTGTTTTTGTTGTAGTATTGTTGTGGTTGAAGGATTATCATTGTATTGTTTTTGTTGTAATATTGTCATTGTATTGTTTTTGTAGTATTGTCGTGGTATTGTTTTTGTTGTACTATTGTCGTGGTATTGTTGTGGTTGTAGTATTGTCGTGGTATTGTTTGTTGTAGTATTGTCGTGGTATTGTTGTGGTTGTAGGACTGTCGTTGTATTGTTATTGTTGTAGTATTGTCGTGGCATTATTTTTGTTGTAGTATTGTCGTGGTATTGTTTATGTTGTAGTATTGTCGTGGTATTGTTGTGGTTGTAGGATTTTAGTTGTATTGCTTTTGTTGTTGTATTGCTGTGGTATTGTTGTGGTTGTAGTATTGCTGTTGTATTGTTGTGAGTGTAGTGTTATCATGGTATTGTATGTTGTAATATTGTCATGGTATTGTTGTGGTTGTAGTGTTATCGTGGTATTGTTGTGGTTGTAGTGTTACCGTGGTATTGTTTATTTTAGGATTGCTGTGGTATTGTTGTGGTTGTAGTATTGCTGTGGTATTGTTGTGGTTGCAATGTTACCGTGGTATTGTTGTGGTTGTAGTGTTATCGTAGCATTGTTTATTGTAGTATTGCTGTGGTATTATTTATTGTAGTATTGCTGTGGTATTGTTGTGGTTGTAGTGTAACCGTGGTATTGTTGTGGTTGTAGTGTTATCATGGTATTGTATGTTGTAATATTGCTGTGGTATTGTTGTGGTTGTAGGATTATCATGGTATTGTTTGTTGTAATATTGCTTTGGTATTGTTGTGGTTGTAGTGTTACCGTGGTATTGTTTATTGTAGTATTGCTGTGTTATTGTTGTGGTTGTAGTATTGCTGTGGTATTGTTGTGGTTGCAGTGTTATCGTAGCATTGTTTATTGTAGTATTGCTGTGGTATTATTTATTGTAGTATTGCTCTGGTATTGTTGTGGTTGTAGTGTTACCTTGGTATTGTTTATTGTAGTATTGCTGTGGTATTGTTGTGGTTGTAGTATTGCTGTGGTATTGTTGTGGTTGTAGTGTTACCGTGGTATTGTTGTGGTTGTAGTGTTATCATGGTATTGTATGTTGTAATATTGCTGTGGTATTGTTGTGGTTTGGTGTTATCGTGGTATTGTTGTGGTTGGAGTGTTATCGTGGTATTGTTGTGGTTGTAGTATTGCTGTGGTATTGTTGTGGTTTGGTGTTATCGTGGTTTTGTTGTGGTTGTAGTGTTACCGTGGTATTGTTTATTGTAGTATTGCTGTGGTATTGTTGTGGTTGTAGTGTTACCGTGGTATTGTTGTGGTTGTAGTGTTATCATGGTATTGTATGTTGTAATATTGCTGTGGTATTGTTGTGGTTGAAGGATTGTCGTGGTATTGTTGTGGTTGTAGTGTAATCGTGGTATTGTTGTGGTTGTAATGTTACCGTAGTATTGTTTATTGTAGTATTGCTGTGGTATTGTTGTGGTTGTAGTATTGCTGTGGTATTGTTGTGGTTGCAGTGTTACCGTGGTATTGTTGTGGTTGTAGTGTTATCGTAGCATTGTTTATTGTAGTATTGCTGTGTTATTGTTTATTGTAGTATTGCTGTGGTATTGTTGTGGTTGTAGTGTTACCGTGGTATTGTTTATTGGAGTATTGCTGTGGTATTGTTGTGGTTGTAGTGTTATCGTGGTATTGTTGTGTTACCGTGGTTTTGTTTTTGGTTGTAGTGTTATCGTGGTATTGTTGTGGTTGTAGTGTTACCGTGGTATTGTTGTGGTTGTAGTGTTATCATGGTATTGTATGTTGTAATATTGCTGTGGTATTGTTGTGGTTGTGGTGTTATCATGGTATTGTTGTGGTTGTAGTGTTATCGTGGTATTGTTTGTTGTAGTGTTATCGTGGTATTGTTGTGGTTGTAGTGTTATCGTGGTATTGTTGTGGTTGTGGTGTTATTGTTGTGGTTGTAGTATTGCCGTGGTATTGTTAACTAGGTTTGGAATATATTAAGACGACACTATTTACTTTCACCCTTATTACTTGTTAGAGAGATGCTTCATTGTGGTACCAGAATCAAACGCACAAGTTCATTTTTAAGAGTTATCTAGCTGTACAGGCAAACCTTGCCTAAAGTAACTTAATGATAAGCTTAGTTCTGACATAGCCTACAGGGTATAGTAAAACTTTCTTACACTGCCATGATTTGTCCAGTGAAATGTTATAAAGAGGTTTAATGACATATCAAAGAAAATTGGTTAGAAGTACTGGAGAAAAGTGGAACGGAGACTTTGTAAGAGATTGGTAGGCAGTGTGGTAAATGAAATGGGGTATTCTATCAAGATTTAACTTTGGGTTGTTTTTTTCCAAATATAAAACATGGACTAGAATGCAAAGTATGGATGAGGACCAAACCAAGAGAAAATATAACAACTTGTTTTAGATATAGATTTATTCAGAGTTGTTTGTTCAACATTCACAATACACCTTATACTTCAACTGTTTTAAATATATTAAATAGTGATTTGCTGAAAACTGCAAAGTTCCGCTTAAGGTGTCACAGTCGACACATTTGTGTTCATACTTTTTTCTCATGATTGTGTGATCAAAATTTCTTTGAGTTATCATCAAACTTAGAGAATACCAAGTAGATGATTTAGGAAATAAAGTTATATTCCACATTGATAAGACTTTGTTTGCTATGATAAACTTCACATTTCAAAACTTCTACTTGGTTTTTAACAGAAAAATGTGAATATTGCAATAACTAGAAAAAAAAAGGTTCTTTCACATCAAGGTTTTTATCATAATTTATATATACATTATGTACAAACAATGCATAAAAATACTCAATTAACAAGAAAAAATGGTTGTCCATTGGGATGAAGGTATATTTTTTGCATTTCGGGATCCAGTACTTCAAAGTCACCACGTATGTGTAATGACTAAAATTTGTGTCACCACCTGTTCTCTTTCACTCGTTAATTCATTCTCCTCATCAAAATATCACAGTTTCTTAATTGTCTTTTTTAGTTAAGTTATCTCCCTTTCCTTCATGAACTCTCCACAAAGCGTCTGAAATCTTCGAGTGATATTCTTCCCTCTGGGTCCTGTGTGCACTGACAGATCAGCTGTGAGAAAAAAAGAAAGAAGAAAATCTTTAATTTGGGTGACAACTTGTGAAAACTTTCACAAGAATTCCTTTGAAATTATAATTTTAACTTTTACACCCATTGAAGCGAAAGTAATTATGTTTATATTGCAGTGTTGATCATATAAACTCACCGCATTTATGACATCATCGTCGACTGGGAGTTGCAAACTACGGCAGAGATTTTTCATGTTGTTGGCATCGATGTAACCTGTCCTGTCCTTATCGTATCGGAGGAACATCCCGTCCACGCGAGTCTTGTCTGTGATGGCGATTTTCTTGAGCTGGGCACGAATTTGTTGTACCAGAATCTCTAGGTCGCCCTCACTGTGGGAACAAATGCAGCAACATGTAGACATATATGGTCAGGTACCCAATGCATAATTATAGAAATATAAGACATTGTGTGACGGAGTGGACTCCAACACAATTACACTTAAAACATACAACCTCCGACAATGTTATCAAATACAACTAAACAGATTTCTTATTGAATATAGACTAAGCATGTGGATTAAGGAGATTTTTATCTAATGCCTAAGTTAGATCAGATGATTCTGGATTTTAAATTTCCAATGCATCTCTGACAGTTATCAAGTTAACTTTTATTGAGTGTCGAGATGCAAGCTCTGTGAAACACTTTAGTCCTCCTAGATTACTTAGGCTGGCTGAACTAGACTTACTTTCGTTTCACTTTCATCGGTCCTCCCTTGACTGCCTCAGACTTGGCGTGTGGTTCAGACAACTTCTGTTGTAATGACGATACTGTTGATTCTGGGACAAGCAAAAACAAACTTAATGTCTTTTTCATCATCATCAAGCATCAAATAAAATTAAAATCATTATATCTAAAAAATGTCAGCTTAAGATACATTTTTTTTAAATTCTGCATAAGAAAGTTGTGTTTTTACCCCAGGAATTTTGACCTTACAAATTCTGTATGTTTGATATGTTCAGATGAACAAGCTGTTGTGCTTTGAGATTGATATTTATTTACTATCAGATCCTTATAACGTTTACTCTTGAATTTTATATTCATTCTAACTTGCTCCATTTCTTTTTCCATATTTACAGATGTCCACATTATGTGTTTTTTGTTTATAGCATCATTAGTATGTGTACCTATTTATGAAATCACAATTCCAATGAATTCAAATTGCCTGTAGAGCCCAGAGAGGGCGAAAGTACTAGTGGAATATAGTCTTCAGTGTTCCATTGTAATTCTATTTCTATGGTCACATGGACATTTGATGTTTTATGACTAAATATATATACATACATGTATATAAAAACTGTATATACAATTTTTCCCTGAGTCAAACACAAAGATTTAACACTGATTAATTTAAAGATATTAAAAGTTGATTGTCAGGAAGAATGAAACCTTGATAATAAAAAAAGGAACATTGGTTCCAACAATAACACTAAATGGTAAAGTCAACGTAATTACCTGGGAATTGATGCTTGTGGCTCTGCATATATTCCAGTACATAGGCATCAGCGTTTATGATGATGAAGCGGTGCTTGAAGATGTCAATCACAGCACCAATGTAGAAATCCTGAGGGCCAAAGAAGCAAGGCTGGTCAGGTGGGCAGTTGGGCTTAGCTACACGGGTCCTTTCCAGGAATTTGCCACCGATGATTCCAGAATTTCTTACCGGAGGCTCGTAAATTGTCATCATATCATCAGCAAGACGATAGGAAATGATGAATCGTCTGCCCTTGTCTTCTGGCTTTACGGAATCCTAAAGAGAAGAAAACACATTGATATGATGTGAACTTATCATATACGATATTTATCATGAATACATACATGCCATAACTTTCCAGCGCAAAGAAGTGAGAACGGGTGAAATTTTTAGTGAATTTTGGTAAAGGTTACGCTTCAAGTGGAGGGATGACAGTTTTACACCAGGGGTGACAGTTTTACACCAGGGGTGACAGTTTTACACCAGGGATGACAGTTTTACACCAGGGGTGACGGTTCTAAAGGAGGGATGACAGTTTTACACCAGGGGTGACAGTTCTAGAGGAGGGATGACAGTTTTACACCAGGGATGACGGTTTTACACCAGGGGTGACAGTTTTACACCAGGGGTGACGGTTCTAGAGGAGGGATGACAGTTTTACACCAGGGATGACAGTTTTACACCAGGGGTGACAGTTTTATACCAGGAGTGACGGTTCTACACCAGGGGTGACAGTTTTACACCAGGGGTGACAGTTTTACACCAGGGGTAACAGTTCAAGAGGAGGGATGACAGTTTTACACCAGGGGTGACGGTTCTAGAGCAGGGATGACAGTTTTACACCAGGGCTGACAGTTCTAGAGGAGGGGTGGCAGTTTTACACAAGGGAATATGGTTTTACACCAGGGGTGACAGTTTTACACCAGGGGTAACGGTTCTAGAGGAGGGGTGACATTTTTACACAAGGGGTGATGGTTCTACACCAGGGGTGACAGTTTTACAACAGGGGTGATGGTTTTACACCAGGAGTGACAGTTTTATACAAGGGGTGACAGTTCTACACCAGGGGTGATGGTAACAGTTTTCTAGAACAGGGGTGACAGTTCTACACAAGGGTTGATGGTTCTACACGAGGGATGATGGTTTTTCATGAGGGATGACAGTTCTAAACAAGGGTTGATGGTTCTACACGAGGGATGATGGTTTTACACAAGGAGTGACAGTTCTACACCAGGGATGATGTTCTACAACAGAGGTGACAGCTTTACACCAGGGTAGACAGTTCTACAAAAGGGTTGATGGTTCTACACGAGGGATGACGGTTTTACATGAGGGATGACGGTTTTACATCAGGGATGATGGTCTACACCAGAGGTGACAGTTCCACACCAGGGATGATGGTTTTACATGAGGGATGACAGTTCTTCACAAGGAGTGACAGTTCTACACCAGGGATGATGTTCTACACCAGAGGTGACAGCTTTACACCAGGAGTGACGCTCTTTCCAGGGGTGACAGTCTTACACCAGGGTAGACAGTTCTACAAAAGGGTTGATGGTTCTACACGAGGGATGACAGTGCTTCACCATGGGTGATAGTTCTACACAAGGGATGATGTTCTACACCAGAGGTGACAGCTTTACACCAGGAGTGACGCTCTTTCCAGGGGTGACAGTCTTACACCAGGGTAGACAGTTCTACAAAAGGGGTGATGGTTCTACACGAGGGATGACAATTCTTCACCATGGGTGATAGTTCTACACAAGGGATGATGGTTCTACACCAGAGGTGACAGTTTTACACCAGGAGTGATGTACTATCCAGGGGTGACAGTCTTTCACTAGGGATGATGTTCTACACCAGAGGTGACAGCTTTACACCAGGGGAGACAGTTTTACACAAGGGGTGACTGTTCTTCCAGAGGTGATAGTTTTACCCCAGGGGAGACAGTTCTACACAAGGGGGGATGGTTCTATACCAGGAGTGACAGTTCTACACCAGGAGTGATGGTTCGACACAAGGGGTGACAGTTTTACACCAGGGTTGACAGTTTTACACCAGGGATGACAGTCTTACACCAGGGGTGACTGTTCTTCACCAGGAGTGACAGTTTTACACCAGGGGTGACAGTCTTACACCAGCGTGACTGTTCTTCACCAGGGGTGACAGTTTTACACCAGGGGTGAATGTAACGGTTCTAGACGAGAGGTGACAGTTCTACATCAGGGGTGACAGCTTTACACCAGGAGTGATGCTCTTTCCAGGGGTGACAGTTTTACACCAGGGTAGACGGTTCTACAAAAGGGTTGATGGTTCTACACGAGGGATGACAGTTTTACATGAGGGATGACAGTTTTACATCAGGGATTATGGTCTACACTAGAGGTGACAGTTCCACACCAGGGATGATGGTTTTACATGAGGGATGACAGTTCTTCACAAGGAGTGACAGTTCTACACCAGGGATGATGTTCTACACCAGAGGTGACAGCTTTACACCAGGAGTGATGTACTATCCAGGGTAGACAGTTCTACAAAAGGGGTAATGGTTCTACATGAGGGATGACAGTTCTTCACCATGGGTGATAGTTCTACACAAGGGATGATGGTTCTACACCAGAGGTGACAGTTTTACACCATGGGTGACAGCTTTACAACAGGGGTGATGGTTCTATACCAGAGTGATGGTTCTACACCAGGAGTGATGGTTCTACACCAGGGTTGACAGTTTTACACCAGGGATGACAGTTCTTTACCAGGGGTGACAGTTTTACACCAGGGGTGACAGTTTTACACCAGGGTTGACAGTTCTACACAAGGGATGACAGTTCTATACCAGGGGTGACAGTTTTACACCAGGGGTAAATGTAACGGTTCTAGACGAGGGGTGACAGTTCTACATCAGGGGTGACGGTTCTACACCAGGAGTGACGGTTCTACACCAGGAGTGAAGGTTCTATCCAGGGGTGACAGTTCTACTCCAGGAGTGACGGTTCTACACCAGGGGTGACGGTTTTACGTTAGGGATGACGGTTCAACACCAGGGTTGACTATTCTATCCAGGGGTGACAGTTCTACGCCAGGGTTGACAGTTTTACATCAGGGGTGACAGTTCAACACCAGGGGCGACAGTTCTATATGAGGGGCGATGGTTCTACACCAGGAGTGATGGTTCTACACCAGGGGTGACAGTTCTATACAAGGGATGATGGTTCTACACCAGGAGTGATGGTTCTACACCAGGGGTGACAGTTCTATATGAGGGGTGATGGTTCTACACCAGGAGTGATGGTTCCACATCAGGGGTGACAGTTCTATACAAGGGGTGACAGTTCTACACCAGGGGTTAAAGTACTATATGAAGGGTGATGGTTCCACATCAGGGGTGACAGTTCTACACCAGGAGTGACACTTTTACACCAGGGGTGACAGTTCTACATCAGGGTTGAAAGTTCTCCCCTTGAAGGTTCCAAACATTTATATACCTACCATGATAGCTTCAAAGCGTAGCACTTTATGGTCGTTTTCTAACATCTTGATGAAGTCCTTTTTGGGAGGTTGTGGGATCAAAGACAGACAAGATTGTAGGGAATCTTCAAGGGATCCAAACTGGTTGTAGGGAGGGATTTCCTGAAAAACAAATATATAATGACGTAAGATGGTATTCTAATAGAGCAAATGGCTAGGGCTGGAATTCAAGAAATATAGAGACATACAATACATGTTACGCCTATCTCAGCATAACTCCTGAGACATACAATACATGTTACGCCTATCTCAGCATAACTCCTGAGACATACAATACATGTTACGCCTATCTCAGCATAACTCCTGAGACATACAATACATGTTACGCCTATCTCAGCATAACTCCTGAGACATACAATACATGTTACGCCTATCTCAGCATAACTCCTGAGACATACAATACATGTTACGCCTATCTCAGCATAACTCCTGAAAAATATTTGTCCACGCAATGTTGTTTATTACAGCGAATTGGTAGGGACAAGGATCAATAAAGCAAATTGTAGAAATAAACCTAATGTAAAACTTTGTGAAGGAGTTGCAGAATGAGAGATCACACATCGTAAGATAATGTTTATTACAAAAACATGAATAATTGACACAATTTGCTTACATTCAAAAAGTTGTTTAATGAGTACTGACTGCATTTTTTAGCAATTTACATGAAAAGTAATCACTTGAGGCAAAAATTGTTTTGTTATTTTTTTGATATTTCATGTTCATGTTAATTTCGATCACTGAAATAGAATGACTGTTTGAAGCGTACATATTTTTAAGAATATGTGTCAGTAGAGCACACCTGCACTAGCCTGCCAACAAAAGCTTGATTTTATGTCAGTGCTTGCGAACTTCTTAGAAATTTACATTGGAAAAAATGTCCTTGTTCTATTACAACTTTGAAAACTAGAAAGTGTAAGAAATAATGTTTAGAAAAATATGAAAATTAACAGTATTTATTGTAAAAATCCTTATTCTAGGACATATTTTTATTACTGATTATATTTATACTGTATCATTTAAAATTGCTGTTTTTTTATCATTATTTGTAATAAACTTTGATAACAGATAGATTTTTTTTTAAATCTTTCAAAAAGACTGCAATTTTATTTATTTTATTTTATCTATACTATTATTATTTTGAATGTTCATCAAAACCAAATTCAAAATTGAGGCAACATCTGTTTGAAATATTTATTTCAATTGTATCAATTGCTTATTATTTTGAAAAGCAAACCTTGTCCAAATTACATCAATTGACGTCAAAAGTGATTTTTGGTGTTTTAACTATTTACTTCAGTATTCAGTTTTCCTCTGTCAAAACTGTCCATCATATTTAAGAGTGAATTCCTCCTTCTCATTGAAGGTAACATATTTCTAACTAGTAAATGAAAAATAAAAATCAGTTGTCAAGCCAGACCAACATTTCTCTGGTTCTAGTGTTTACTGGAAAACAGTGCCTTTGAAAAACCTGCCTGCTGAACTCTATTTCCACAGTTGAAACTGAAAGAACTTCGAAACTCTTTTATATTTAACCATCACAAGGACTTTGGGTGTTTCTTTTATTGTGTTTATATTTAATTTGTCCAAGGTGGGAAATTAATTAATTACTAAAAAAAAAAATCTAGGTAGTGAACTAAATTCTAAATAGGTCATCTGAGGTTCCTACACTGGATCATTTTTTATTTAACTTGACATTAAATATCTAAGGCTAGGCCCCAGGGTTCTTCAACTTAAGGGAAAATCCCTTATTTTGGTTATTTCAATTGGAAATCATTGCTGGAGTTAAGGGAAAAAAGTTTAGAAAAAAATTTGTAACTTCAACAATACATTTCAATGGGAAAACTAAGTTTAGGAAAGTTATAAAACATGACCTGAATATATGAACAAATTACCATCTTAGGAAGAGCCTTGGCCCTGTTCTGCACATCCACTGGCTTGAAGTCGGTCATTCCAAAGTTCTGGTAGAAGAATGCCTTTGTGAAGTTATCAAAGTCATACACAAGGAATCGGCGCCCGTATATTGACATCGGTGTGCCTAATTTGAAGTCTTTGGGTGTGAAATACTCTTTGATTTCGTGTTCTGACAGTTCCATTACAACTCCAGGGAATGAAGACTCTATGTTGTATCTGTCTTTAGGAACTTTGTGTCGTCCAATCAAAACTGGGAAAGGATCGCGTCCGTCATTGGGCGTGTGCACTTCTCGGACTTCCAATGTATCATCCACTAGGTAATACTGGACAAAAAATTTGGATTATAAATACTTAAAATTTGAGTTATTAATACTTAAAATTTGGGTTATGAATATTTAACATTTGGGTTATGAATACTTGAAATTTGGGTAATAAATACTTTTTTGTTTAATTAGAATAATGTATATTTTAGCTATTTGAGTATGCCTAAGTGTTTCCAATGAGTCATAAAAGAGAAGACAATATAGCGGTAATATTTCTTATGAAATTATTACATACATTTTAACATTTGTCCCATTATCATTTTTCCAGAAAAATTCATAAACTTTGTACAGGAAACGGTGCCTTTTTTGTTGTTTGGGGAATGGGGGCCAGGAGCTTTAGAATTTGGGAAAATGGTAGTGTAAAACTATCCAAACTTGGAATAATGTTTGTCATGTAAAAGCAATGTTTTATCTAATTACCATGAAGGCTTGAAATCATTTGATTACCAAAGCTTATTGACATTTAAATATGAAAAGCATCATAAACAATTAATAATATATTCTTGGTACTTTTGAATAAAAACTGGGGAAAAACACAATTAATTTTCCTTGGAGAACTGCATGGCCCAAAATTGGACAAAAAATCGTACTGATAAAATTTAAACTTGTTTGAAAATATAGTTATATATTACAGAAGAAACTCACATGGATAACAAATGGTCTACTCTCTCCAAACATGCTGTCTTGATCGTCCCAGATACAATAGAACCGCAGCACTTTACGGTCGAGTTCCAGGAATTGTTTGAGTTTGTCGAAGGAGGACGGAGTGTTGTAGGTTCGGAGAGCTGCTGCCTCCTTCCTCCTCTCGATGTAAGGATCGGTAGGGGCACCCTCGCTCTCGTTAACCACCATACCCTCACTCTCCAGGAAATTCTGTGGGAATTCAAAACAATGATTACATGTTACATCAACAGTTTGGATTTTTAAAACATCAGATTTTGAATATATAATATAAATATATATTTATAATATATAAATCAGATTTATTTTCTGTATCTGCTGCATATTTTAATATATGTTATAGTTGAACATTTCTAAACTGGTCACTGTCTAATCCAAATCCCTGTCAGATCTGGTTTAGATGGTCATAATGCAATAGTGTATTATTCCTGTGGGTGTTTTTTTACACCCAGTTTATTATATTAACATAGATTGAACAACCCTTTATACTGTAAAAAAAACTTAGACAATAATTGCACTTTTGACAAAAGGAAACATTATTAATAATGACGATATCAATTTAACACACCCTTGTGAATGCATCACAGCTGACGATTCTGAAAATTTTCCCATAAAATGTGACATTCATTCCATTGTTGAGGTCCCTCCAATGCCAATTACTCCCCTGGTCATCCTTGGGTAGCCTCTGTCTCTTGATGAGCTTTCCTGAATTTCAAAAAGACAAAAAATTATACATGTATTTGACAGGTCTTTTTTTCCAACTCAAGTTATAATTTGAAAACTTCAAAACCCATAAGCTTCAAGTGTCAAAGTAAATATTCTACTTTTGCAGCACTTTTTAAGATGCATGCATTATAAGAATTTCAATCTCCATATTTTCTTTGTAATATATCTGTTGGTCCTAAAGTAGATCCCATTAATCATCAGCAAAAATGTCTATTACACTAAATTCATTCACTTGAAGATATCTTTGAAGATATACAGCCAGGTTTCACCGTCTGGTGTTCTTGAAGTTTGCATATAGATATATATTAACTAGTAGCTAGCTAAAGTTCAATATTTCAAGAGAAATATGTTGGGGAGGATAGGCAAATGGATTCAAGCACCAGTGTGATAGGCCTACAAACCAGATTTTTGTGTACTAAAACTGTCAGATATAGAGCGTTTCTAATTTTTTTAAATTTTCAGTCTATTATTATTATAAAAATGTTCTTTTTTTTTTTTATCAAACTATACATTTGATATTTAAAGTTTGATTTTTTTTTTTTACATGTTACTTTTCAACAAGATTGCCAACCAGCAGTGAATATGCATGAACATCAGTTTATACCTTGTGGCATGCCAGAGTTCTCCACATGAGGCTCAACAACTGCAATACTGTCATCCTCAAGGTAGTAATATAGATCAACTGGTCGCACTCTGAAGTATTCATCAGGAGATTCATGGACAGTTTGCTTGAAGTAAGCATTGAATCTTAAAACCTGTAGCAGAAAACAGAAGTTTAAGAAACAAGAATCATATTAAGCATGTAAAAGAAAGAAAACACCCAGTTGTTCATCTATTCCTTTCCTTACTATTTTAAATGCTCTGAATATATTTCCCAGTCTATTAGATTAGTTTGTGTTTCCCTAGAACAACCACATTAAACCAGCATACCAACCATTATACTTTTTCTGATCCAAAAAAAGTGCTGTTATGGATAAATACATGTACTTTGACAATTTTGTAAGTTTCTGCAAATGTTTTAATTTTCCCAAATTGCTAATGGAGCCCAGTTAGATCAGGGACATACCTGTTGGTCACAACCTCGAAGTAAAATTAAGAATTAAATGGAGCGGAATTGATCTTGACTAACAAATAGTGTGTTAGATACTGCAATGCTTTCAAACTTGTAGATGGAAAAGGTGTAACTTTAACATAGAAGTAAAATCAAACTACCCTTACATGTACTTAGGACCAGATCAGTAATGACAATGACATTGTAAACAATATAGGTACATCTTGGTAATTAAAAAAATAAAACATGGTTTGAAGAACAAGTGAATAACTCAAAGATGAACTTGTCACTATCAAACTTTCATTAAAACACTATTAATCAATAATAATAATGATAAACAACGGTATATCATGATAACTGGTCATGACCAAGTGTGTCAACCATTATGAGCCAGTGCCTGCTGTCACAACTTCTGTACCTTTTTATCCCATGCTACATGACCTGGTACAAAGTCCTCTGGTGGAGCTTGCTTTGCCTGACCATAGGTCAATGTTGGGTTGAAATTCGCCAGCTCGTCAAGCTCCTGTTCAGAAAGTTGGTTGTAATTGATGGGCACACCACCAATTCCAGTGGTAGGCAGAATCTGTGTGGCATAGCCATTCTTATAGTTGAGCGAATGACTTCTATGGTATTTGGCTTTCTGTAAGTGACAAGATATAGATAAAATGAGCATACAAACTACAAGTTAAATGGGTTTTTTTATCCGTGAATTTCTTATCAATACAAACTGATGATAATCTGATAATATCAATGCTTTCAGAAAAGAAAAAACCCAGACATTATAGCAATTAAAGTAAACGTCCTGTTTAAGGACAAAATTTTACCTACACATAAAATGTTTATGATTATTTCTAGGATTTTCTTCCCAATTTTCCAGTTTTGTATTATAAATTAAAAAACATTTGAGATGTAAATCTGTCCATATGACAGACGAAAATAAAATTACTTTGCTTAATGGAACAGTTCTGATTAAATTGATTTGGGTATATAACATCATATCAACATGGTCTGTCTGCAGACAGCACAGTGCAAATACTGATCATTCGAAATTGTCGATGGCATTGTAACCAAAACACACGAGCAACTAACATTTTGCGTGAGTTATTAGAGTAAGACCTATACCTGAAGTAAACGACAAACATACAACTGACAGCTAAACATTGATGCACATTTATTTGTTATGTATCCTTGCTGGTTTTAAACAATGTAAAGAGATGCAACAGACTCGTAGCCATATTATGCTTGTATACGATACAGTAAACTGACAAACATTGAAACATCGCCATGGACATGAGAAATCGTCTGCTGTCAATAATTTTCGATGAAAATATATTTTAATACTTACTGTTGGATCTACAAATGAGTTTCCTGGGAGGAACGGTAGCCCTTCCATGGCGAATTCTTCCCTCCTAACAACCTAAACAGACACCCTTCTTCTTTCCAACTTGTTATCCCCAACAACACGATACACACCGAACACTGTTGCTGTGTAGTTGCTATGTAAACAAAGTTAACGCGAGAACTTACGAGAGGAAATTCTAAGCGCCACCTTCCGGATATGATGACTAATCTTACCTCCATTTTCAAAGAGTTCATATCAATGGACGTCGAAGTGGACGACAAATCTCCGCTTCAACTTTTCTGTTTAGTTTCCGTAACGTGATGAAACGTTGAATGTGCTCAATCACCAAACATGGAAGAGGTAAATGATAACCATGTGCATGCATTTCATTTATTTAGTCCGAATTCACTCTATATTTGTGAATATGTTAAATCTCAGATAAAGTTGATGAAACTGCAACTGTTAGCCTACTACATTGTATGAGCGGCTACAACATTTCAGCTCACTGTGCCGATCTTATCTTCCGATCTAAAAATGTTGTACGTACGTCTCTGCATAAAACCAGACAGTTGTTTATAAATTGAAAAAGAAACAACAATATGATGACGGCATTCATCGTGTAACAAGATAGTATTTATGCCTGGTTTAGAGCCAGACTGTCAGATGCTACTGTAATTATTATGAATTAAAAGTTTGTTATAGATTAGAAGTAGTCCAATCTCTTAAGATAATTATTCATAGCATATTTATTTTTGATATCTAGACATAACAATTAACGTCAAAGTATTATTCTTAAGGGCGGCTGGCCATGGGCCTAATATTTAAAAACAGTCATTAATTTCCCACGAACAATATCTGATTGGAACTGCCTCCCTCCAGATATCTGTGAACTTAAATAACTGCCTTCAAATCCGCCATAGCTAAATTACCATAAATCCCTATTTATTCATTTATTTACTTAATTGTATATATCTATTTACTTATTTATTTTCCCCTCCTTATGCAATGATCTCCAAATAACATAATCTTTAACTTGTTGAAGGCGGTTATTATAAAGTAGAAGTAGAAACATATATGAAAGGATTTAAATTACATGCTATATGGGCAAAGTCTAAAGATTCACATCATCAAAGCTTAGTATCTTTACTTTGAAAATAAAAACAAGTTGAGTGAGCCAGCACATTTGGATATATGCATACATACAGAAAAAAATACTTATTTATGTGTTTGCTCATATTTTTAGGTTAAAAGTGGCATGGTGACTTTAAATGATGGAAAAACACGTCCACAACCAATAAAACTGCAACTGTCTAGCGACACACTGACATTGCTGAAAGAGGAACTGGTTCCAGTGTACCAAGAAGAAAATGCAAACGAACTAATCAACAAAGTAAAAACAAAATGATGCACTTGATGATGATGTAGTAATGATAAAGATTAATGTAATGTTACAGAAGTATTAGATGAGGAAACTAGGTTGTAATCCAAATATGTACACACATATGTTCGGAAACGGATTTATATAAGTTATTTCAACTTGTTTCTGGATCCCATTCCTCTGTACTTTGTATGTTATGTGATGTAATGCAACTTAATTTGGAATGAAATAAAGTTTATATTAAATATGTACACAATGAAATGTCTTTTAAGCAGAACACTGGTCATTGGTACATTGTAGATCTAGATATAGTATCAGTGTTTTGGGGAAAAAGCTCTTATCCATTTTGATTCCAATCCATTTGATATAGGCATTTATATTAATTAGTACTAGCAATTTCCCCCAATTTTTTGGTTTTAAGATGAAAGATAAAAAATGAAACTTTTAAAGTTATTTATATTGAAGAAAAATAAATAAATATTCTGTTAATTATTTACATATTTCTGTGAATCAATTTTATAGGTACGAGAGGTTGTAATCCAGAAGCATGAGAAGACTGGCCTGGGAATTAGTTTGAAGGGTGGTGCTGAGAATCGCCTCCCTGTGCTGGTCTCAAAGTTGGTACCAGGACAGGCTGCAGCCCTTACAGGAGGCTTGTATGTAGGAGATGCCATTTTAAAGGTATCAGTCAAGGATATTGTATCAGGCATTCTATTGCAATCGTTATAATGATAGTTAATGCTCACTGCTAGATAAATACTTGAAAAAACAGTGATGCAGTTGCTTCATCCAATGACTACACACAAGTGGGGCCACAGGGTAACTTTAAAGTGCCATCTCACTGTAAAATGACACCATCCTGTGTTCCAGTCACAACGTACTGACAATGACTGCGAGGTTAACCGACTCCCATTCAAAACTGAATTCAAGCAGATAGCAATGAACTTCAAGTACCAAAATGAGGTTCTTTTCTTTGTCTCAGTCAGAAATAAAAAAAACTATAACCTGAAACCTGAAGCAGACAGCAATCAAAACCAATGTCAATTTTGTATGTTTGAAAACAAAACTTACTTTAATTTGAAAACTCTGCCTTTCTGCGAAAAGTTTTTAATGTCTGAATGGTAACAACTATGATTTGAATTAGCATTGATCATAACGTAAAATGTTGAGATATATATTTGTTTGGTAAGAAGCAATTGTTATATACATATATATATACGTTTTGTTTTCTCAATTTTTCACATTTTTTAACAATTTGATCGTTCTTTTTTACTATATATCACATTAATCCCTACAATTTCCATACAAACGTTTGTGAAATGCATTTGACATATTTTGTTGCATAAAATGTTGTTTAAAAATTATTTATTTCACAGTTCTGGAAAATGTCGCTCCAAAAACAATACAATGATAATACATATATATAAAATAATTTTAAAAAAAAGAGAGAGAGAAGATACCAACCTTTTTGGGGTATCCTTCCCTCTCCCTCCAAAAAAATGAAGAAAAAACAATTCATCAAATGTTCAGATTAAAAAAAAGTCAATTGCACCTTGTTGAAAACTTCTGGTTTCTTGGTATATGGAGATGCAGCCTTCTTAAGGTATTAGGTTCGTGTCACCATTTCTCAGTAGAATTTCTTAAAATTTTGTAGTTATATTGCTTTGAAGTAAAGAAAAAAAATTGCCACAAAAAAATATAGGTTGTCATAATTTTAAGGGTTTTAAATGGAAATTTATGTAAAAAGGAGTGAATGTTGGAAAAAATAATGAAAGACACATTCTTTTGCAAAATAATGTCAATAAAAATGATACTGCCATAGATTAGTATTGCATTAATGTATAATTTCAATTTAATAAATGCTGAAATTGTGTAAAATAAATTATCTATAAACGATTAAAAATTGACATTTTATAATACAACCATATACACATGATAATTGCATGTAAGAGTTATCTTCCTTGAAAAACTTCGCAGTAGTGAAATAGGTAGCCGGTTTCCTGAAGTACAGAAAAATGAACACATGTGACTCATTGATAAAAAACAACTGAATTAATGCCTGGATTGCTCTGAAATACTTTAATATTGAGAGTACACACTGTTCTGTCAATAATGAACATACAATATTCATCAGTTTAATATTAAACAATTGACTCATTAGAATATGCGGAATTTGTGATACTGTCTCCTTGCATTGGATTTTCAATTAGGGATGTACTTCCTTTTCCGTTTATCAATACACTCGTTCTACCTTTATCTATGATCTCATCAATTATTCAACAAAGATTTAAACGTTGGGCATTTTAAAATCAAACTATGCATTTGCTGTTTGTATTTATGCCATCCTCATATTTTTCCAATAAAAAATCCATTTGAACTAGATGCAAAAGAGCCCATTTACGTCACATGCAGTGCTGACACTGATTAGTGCTACAAGAAGCATGGATGTTAATGAATCAATACAGTGTATTTTCATTGACTACATAAAGTGTTGCCCTACACAATCAGTGCAGAATCACCTTGATCAATAGGTGAAGCTGTCACCAAGAAGTGTCGGTGTCTTGATAGATAGACAATTAAAACCACTATTTAAAGGGAAAATTAAGTGAAGTAAGTTTTTTTTATAACCTTGTCATAAGTTCTTCATGATAATATAGTTTGGTACTCCTTATGAACGATTCATGTTGAGAAATTGACAAAAGACAATGTTTTCTTGGCGTTTTTAATCAGTAATGGAGAAATCCTTAACTGTACAGCCGAGGAGAGAAGGTAAATCCTCGCTTTATTCACCTAGCCTCTCTGGAATTCAAGTACATGGATTTATTCTGAATTAAATTTATCTTCAACAGCATCTCAAACATCATTATAAATGAGTTTATGAATTAATCTATTTTACGTTTAAACCTATTGATATCATACTTTCTGCGGTTTGAAATTCTCCCAGTGCTCTAATTGAACATGTTCGTTTTTATTCAAATCCAAATATGAACAGTAATATCTTATTACAGGTAAATGCGATGTATTGTGTAAATTCAAGAACGTGTTATGTGCGAACTCAGACTCTGACTCATAACTGACACTGTGTTGTCGGTCGACAGCGTAGTGCTGTACATATTTACTTCTCGCTGAAAGGCCTGGATATTATTGCACTATTTCCGTCGTAGCTATTTTTATCACAGGCTTTCCCGAAATATGAAACTGACCACACTGAACATTCGTTAGGAGATATATATTTTCGGTATCAACTCAGTTTTCTGGTTCTCGTTTGACGAAATGGCCCCTTTAAAATATAAAATGGGCAGTATGTGCCAAAAAAATCAGAAAGTAATATGTTTCATATGGTAATAAAGAGAAAACTGTATCAACTGATTTTGTTCTCAGGTGAATGGAGAACCCTGTGACAGAGCCAGTCATGACGAGGTCATCAGTTTATTGAAATCAGCTGGGTCAGAGGTTACGCTGGTTGTAAAGCACTTCAAACCTGCAGCCGTTTTCCTCAATAAAGGTTGGTAATGATGTACATCTGAATGCTTCATCACCATATGATAGCTTATGTCAGTGGAAGATCTAACTGTTAGAAAAGTGGGACAAATTGTATTTCCTAATATCTTTTTCTGTTAAATACATATAATTGTCTAAAAATGAATTATTTGCTGTAAGAGTTGCATGTCCTTTCCAACTAATTAGTCAAAGGTAATTTTGGTCCAAAATATAATCTCCAGGGGCTACTGAAAACCCTGAATCGTCCAAAATATAATCTCCAGAGGCTACTGAAAACCCTGAATCGTCTGCCCCTAAAATATTCCTTTATCCACCCTGGGGTGTGAATCGAGACTAGGGGTTTCTGCAATGCAGAAATTCAAACTTCCCATTGTTTATTGAGTTTCTACACTCAATTGATTTTGAACACTACACTATGATGCTATTTAGAAACCAAGGAATTTTTCCAATTCTTGAGTGCAGATGAGTTGTAACCCCTCAAGATTTCCTGTGATCCCTTTTTCTATGTGAAGACATCCTTCTGCATTATATATATACAAATTAAATTATCTTTGATTACATTAGAAAAATATATATCGTAAATAAATGAACATAGAAGGGCAATTTGTTTATCACAACACAACCTAATGTACTCAGTTAAAGGTGCTTTATTTACATTTAACCATATTTATACGTGCCGACTGTACCTTGTGAAATGACAAAATTATTGTAATTGCCCTGACGAAGCCCTCTCCCATGCGTAACCAGTCAGCATGTGTTAGATGTAAACAAAGCACTGTTAGCTGAGTACGTCAGGTTGTGTTGTGAGTGCACCTCCGTGTTCATATATCTTAAGTCATATGCAATCACCCTGCATATACTTAGAGGTGTCCACGTCTAGACGACAAACCTGATACATCACCGTAAAGAAGCAAGGCGCTGGCTTTCAGGATATTCAGGAGAAGCATTGGGGGGGTCTGTTATCACAGCAAGATCATGTAAACGAACTGGTCAAATGCAAAATGAGCTCAACTACATTACCTTCCTGTATTTAAAAGAGAAGAGGGGTTTCAGGGCTTTCAGTTGACCCTTGACATTTACCAATTTCAGAGAACATTTAACCTTTTTTATGAAGTTTGAAGTGTTAAAACATTCATCAAATACATGTAGACATGTCTTTTCAAATCCAAGAGTCAAAACCCATTTTTGGTCCTCAAATACATACTCTCAAGGGTCAAATGAAAGCCCTGGCTCTGAATCACTCGACTGTACAACATTGAATTTGTTTATTTTCAGATCAGCAAGCAGGAAACAACAACAATTCGCCAATGGTAGGTGTATTATCGTGGATTTCTCTGACGCAAGGGTAACCTTTGAGGTTTTCTTGCGTAGATATTAGAGCAATGTACTCTGGTCAGGTATGCATACAGGATACAAATGAGTTCTGGGCATTAATGGAAGTCTAGGTGATTTAATTATTCCTTGATAACATTTCAAAGATATGCATTATGTAGGATTTTTTTACCATGCGCAACATCAGGTTATTATGTAGTATAACATTGATCTATTATGAACAGGGAATATGTAGGTAATCTTTATGTAGGCATTTTTGGGAAAGGAGTATGTCAAATATATCAAGGTAACTGTGACCACCCTATAAAATCCTATTGAAGGGTTATTTGTTAAGTATTTATTAAATCTTATATTGTACAAAATAATAACTTATTCAATATTCATTCAAACTTAACAAAGCAATGGGAGGTAGTCCAATCACGTGTAATGCCTCATTTTAAGATATAGCTGATTGTCTGCAGGAAGAAGACTCGTCCCAGTTTCCGCGTCTGGAGCGTCAATGGTCAGTCTACGTTTCTATACCACTGCTGTTTGCCTATCTCACTCGCTACTGTCCTGGGACTGACAAACTCAGGTAAGCATCATTAATCTGACAATATTTTTCTCTCTGTAAATTTTGGATCAAATATCAATCCCATTCTCAATCAGATTTGGTTTTGTTTTTGCCATTCCTGTCAAGATAAGAGTCACAATTGATCATTTTTTTCTTCAAAGTTATGTTTTTCTCAAGCGTCCTTTACCTATAATATGGACAAAAGTCAGGTATTATGACTTACAATTTTCCACTGTAAATTGTTTGTAAGCCTAAAGGTCAAAATGTTTTCTCAGAGCGAATGCATTTGAGATTGTCAGTGTGGACGGGGCTTCGACAGGCGTTATTCACTGTGATGATAGCCACTCTTTGGCTGACTGGATCAGAGCAATCACCAATAACATCTCATCTCTCTTAACTCAGATGGTAAGTGTATATACATATTGGTTATAACATCTCATATCTCGTAACTAAGCTTTGTTATCAGTAGTTCAAAAAAACTTGTTTTATCAATCAATTCTCGTTAGTAGCTCTAAACATGTTTTACTCACTGTGAATTCACAGCAGCCTGTTCAGGTGTAAGTGTGAAAAAAAATAGCATCGGTAACAGCAGGAACATTCAGAATTATTATGAAATGGAATGCAGATATTAGTTATTTATCAGTTGAAATATTTCAAATGTGCTATATCTCAATAATTGATAAATTGCACAAAGATAACGACAGAAATCAAAGATTAAAAGAAAGGAGCAAATTATTGTTGCTGTTAATATTTGGCTAGTTGGAAATTATCATCTGGACGTAATGGCTAGAAGCTCGGCGTCACAGAACTATTTTCAGTTGGGGATGGGTCAATTTAATAGAACTTAGAAAAGAGGGGATATAATCAATGACGGGAACCAATTGAATTAAGTCATGATTATGTTAAAGTAATGTAATTTAAAAATTCAAAAATGTTAAAAAATGTAAATACGATTTTAAATTTTCATTTTGTAGATAAAAATGAGTAACAGACTGCTGATACCAGAAGAACAGGTATGAACCCACAGTTTATTACTCTTTACGAACTTTCAAAGTCTGTTAAGGCAACTTCTCCTTATAGAAATAATGATAATGATAAAGGCTTTATTTATTAGCTCACCTGGTCCGAAGGACCAAGGTGAGCTTATGCCATACCTTGGCGTCCGTCCGTACGTCGTACGTCCGTCAACAATTTCTTTAAACGACTTCTTCTTCTTAACCACTGATTGGAACTCAACTAAATTTGACTGGAAGCATCCCTAGGTGGTGGGGATTCAAAATTGTACAAATGGTGGGGCTGACCCCCAAGGGGGCTGGGGGGCGGGGCAAAAAGGGGTCATTTTGGCTATATTGCTTTAAGCGACTTCTTCTCTAGAAATAAGAAGTCGATATCAACCATATTTGACTGGAAGCATCCCTAGTTGGTGGGGATTCAAAATTGTACAAATGAGAGGGCTGACCCCCCAGGGGGCGGGGCAAAAAGGGGTCAATTTGGCTATATTGCTACAAACGACTTCTTCTGTAGAACTATGCCATGGATATCAACCATGTTTGACTGGAAGCATCCCTAGGTGGTGGGAATTCAAAATTGTACAAATGATGGGGCTGACCCCCCAGGGGGCTCAGGGGCGGGGCAAAAGGGGGGCAATTTGGCTATATTGCTACAAGCGACTTCTTCTGTAGAACTATGCCATGGATATCAACCATATTTGACTGGAAGCATCCCTAGGTGGTGGGGATTCAAAATTGTACAAATG